GTGTGCCGGGAAAACTCCCACGGCAGTTATGAGAAGACTACATTTCCATTTATCTCGTGTGATTTCCCATGATCTCGCATGATCTTCTGTCATCTCGCTATATAGTTTTCAAGCTTTCTCCTGCGATTGAATCATTATTATAGGAACAGAGATAGGATCAGATTGTTTGTGAGAGACTGGATTCTTTTTCATCTGTTGATTGCCCCATGGATTTATTTCATCGGATGAATGAAAGCAGTATGTGCAAACTCCTTGAGCAACAACATCTCAATCACCATTTTCAATCCATAGTATTTGGCAATGTGGTAAATGGCCTTTGCCTGTATCGTGCTTTAACAAAGTCCAGGGGACTCCAAAGCGCTTCACACTACATTCAGTCATTCACCTTTTCACGCAAGGCAGTGGTGAGGCTGCCATGCACCAATGCCACCAGGCCCTCTGACTACAACCAAGCAGGCAAGTGTCTGACTTGTGTCAGTGAAGGCGGATGGACTGGGGTTCGAACCGCCGATTATGGGACAAATTCCTGCCACCATCACCACCATCGTTCCATGACAAGCTTGAAATTGATAATTCCATAGTCAAACATCTTTTTATCAGATTTTGCTGAAGAGCACACATGGCATCAACTGGATGGGGAACCCTGCAACAAACAAATATGCCAAGAGATTCTAGTGAAGCTGGCAGCCCAAGGGCACACATGCCCAATGACACCACAACTCTTTGTGCTCACTGATCGCCCACGTTTCCACATTCCTGCCCATATTCACCCCCACATACTGAGGATCAATACACCCAACTTGGCTAGAACTTAACCAAACATTAACTGGCTAGAGTGAAACTTGACAATGGCTTTAGTCTGTAAAGATGCTGAGACCCACTCTCCTCTGGAAAGTTTGTGGTACATCTCCTGTCTACTCCAGCATGGGTTAATTGAATAGCTAATGAGTCTTGGCAGAGCCTTTATTTGAATTCAAATTTCACTCTTACATGTAAGAGTGAAAACACCATATCCCTGTCATGCCTAAGTGATCTCCAACCAGAAATGTACAAACAGGTAACCGAAGTTTAGCCAGATCTGATCTCAGAAAAAAGCCCTTTGGCTGCATGGCCAATTATAGAAGAGCATTAACACATTACTGCATGTTTTTCTGTAGCGTAACTAGTTTTGATTCTTTCAGTACTGTTGCCATGACAACTGGAACATTTTTGCCAGTGTCTGTCAGCTGTGTATTTATTGCTGCTTGGCACAACTTCAAACACAGGATCTTTGTTTAGTATGAAGTGTGAACTTATTTGAAAATATCTACTGAATATTATGAGCCTCATTCATTACAAATGTTACATTTGCTTCTCTTCATCCGTTTTCCTCTTTAAGTGTAAATTATATCCAGAGTGTCACTTGTTTTGCATTTAAACATTCAAGTTTGCATAGGAAACTAAATTAAAGCTTGCAGCCTATTGGGAAGGAAGCATCAGAAAATATAATTTCTCCAATTTCTCCCCAGATGTCAGACATATTTCCATGTCAATAGTGATGGACAAAAATGGTTCTTATTTTGTGGACAGACCTTTGATACTGTTCAGCTGTCCACTCAGTTGAACAGTTTCAAAATGATGTGCCTAATTTCTTTTAGCTTTGTGACCTCTCTTCCCACAGTGAGATTGAGTAAAAACAGTTAAGAATTATATAGGTAAGATAGAATATGTCCAAAATCTTGGATAGTATGAAGTTCTTCTATCCAAGCTCTTTTCTAATTTACAGAGCTTCAAGATAAGTAAGTATATCCACAAGTTGTCTTGTTTTCTAACTAGTTATCAATGAGACATTGAGAGCCCGTTTCATTCAGACTTAATAAGTTAAGTCATTAAGTCTCAGGGTGCATTCCGCCAGCCCTGTTTAGTCCACTTTAAGCGAAGTCTAGATGGTTTGTGTAGAAAATCCGGTTCGTTTGGAGGGGTGTGAATGTGAAATCGAAATTGGCCAATGACTAATTGTTTATTTGTTGTGAAAATGTAGCAATGACTAAGTTGCTGGGCAGTACATAATTATGCATACTTAGCAGAGGTAATGGCTAAGTTTGCTATTACCTTAGCAGAGGTAATAAAGGGAATCTGTTTCATTTGTTATGCAAGTGTTAATTAATACTATAAATATGTTAGGCTGGGTTCATATTGCACTGCATACAGTAGTGGGTTGCTGCTGGAGAACTCGTGCATACGAGACTTTTTCTTTTAGAGTTTGGAATCCGGAAATTTGAAGCAACATTTACTTCTGTCAGCATTTCTCAAACAGCTTTCCTGAATTTTAGAAAGGTAGATATGAAGATATAATTTTTTTATGTGAAATGGTTTCATGTTGAATGGTTCAAGATAAAGTGTCATACTCAGTAGGACAGGTGTATGTTTACAATAAATCATAATGTAAAGCCTCAATTGGAGGTGTTATTCTGAGAACCTGAGAAAGCTCTCCATCCCTTGCAGAACTTGTGTGCTTCTCTCTGTTTCAGCGTTCAGGCCTAGCTGTTCAGCACTCTCACCCACACACATGCAATGTGGCGTTTTGTCTGAGCTGCTCATCAGCTGCCTGTAGCTAACACTGTAACAGGAACCAACACAGCCACATCCTGTCTTACATCAGAAACAGACTTGTGTTACCAATGGCAACATTGTGCAATTAAAACCAAACATTATCGGATCAATGCCAATCTCATTAATAAGGCAGGGTAAACTTTTGCTGATTGATGCAGGGCAGCAATAAAAAACACATTTATCTTTTCAGGGCCTGATTTGTTACCGCATTGGCTGACTAGCAGTAAGCTTCTCTCCATCCCAGATGTTGCTGGACTCATTGGTTTAGCATAAACTGTGGAGTGAATCGATTATTTCTCAGTTTGCAGAAAAAGATAACCAATACATTATTTCATACCCAGGTCATTCCAAACCTGGATATGAAATGACGCAGGTCTGTTTAAATCTGTCCTGTCTGGGTTTTTATTACTATTTGGTCGTCTTCTTTGTTTTCTTGCTGTTCTATCTCTTGTTGCTGTTATCTGCCTGTCCATTCCACCTCTTCTAGGCTAGTTTTTTCTTAGGCAAGTCAAGTTTGTTTGTATACCACATTTAAACAACAAGGCAACGCGATGTGCTTTACATTATGAAAACACAAAACAACAAATGAGCAAGACTCGTTATATTACAGTGGCAAAATAAAAGAAAGTGGTGAAAAGTTGGAATACATACTACAATTTATGATGGTCCAGTTAATGTTTAATTGTTGATTTAAAGGGACTCGGTGTTTCAGCTGTTTTGCAGTTTTCTGGAAGTTTGTTCCAGATTTGTGGTGCATGGAAGCTGAATGCTGCTTTTCCATGTTTGGTTCTGGGGATGCAGATCAGATCAGGAAGGTTGTTATAACAACAGCAGATCTTTAATGTATTGTTTTGCTAAACCCTTTAGTGACTTATAAACTGACAGCAGTATTTTAAGGTATATTATTTGAGCAACAATGAGCCAGTAGAAGGACTTTAGAACTGGATGATGTGCTCTGTCTTTATGGTTTTAGTGAGAACACGAGCAGCAGCGTTCTGGATCACCTGCAGCTGTCCAATTGACTTTTCCAAAAAATAAAAATGTAAATATAAATACTTTATGTAGTATGGATTGATGTTGTCTACAAATCTCTCTGACCAACATTTCTAAATACAAGTTGAAATGTTGTAAGCTTGTTTAGCTAATTGCCATAAAAATATATATTTTGTGTTATGGAATCTGGGCTTTCTTCTTAAAAAGAGGAAGACATTCTGGCATTTAAAGACTTAACAAAATCCTGAATATATTTTAGACATGGTGAGGAGTGGTACTTGAGTTAAAAAAATGTGTAAATATGTTATATTTCTATAATATGTTTAAAGAGCTTTCTTTATGTTCAGTTGATACAGGCAGAGGACAAAATGAAGGAATCTCAAAAAATTAAGATTCTAAATATAGCTGTGTTCACATATTCATGATGCCCTTGTGTCTTTGTGTTGCTGATCTATTTTAACATATTTGTTCTTTTCCTGATCTGTTCACATGTGATCAGTGTTCACATGAATGGTTTGTAACGTGAATTGTCAGATGGTAGAACAGTGACTTCGCTTATGTTTTGATTCTTGAATGGATATGTTATAAGAGGTGTTGCCCCTCCCCCACTAGTTGCTGTGAACAGCTGGTCACTCCCATTCTTTTTCTCTTGCTTACAGGAAAGATAAAATGGGCTGTTTGGAGAGTCACAGCATACAAACTAAAGCAGCCCCACCTATTACTCTCTTTAAGGTAATGGTGCTTAGGCAGTGTGGGAAGCTAAAAGCAGCACGTGTGCAGAGTCTCTGACTACAGATTCTGCCCAAGAAGATTTTTAGACTACTAGTTTGACTCTATAAACAGCAGAATAGCAATGTGTGCTATATTATAAAAGAAACATCTTTATTATTAGTTTAAAACTTTAAACTTTAGACAGTATGTTCTACTCTGACATACTGTCCAATGTCAGAGTAGAATATACCAGTCAGTCTCCAGACATTTCTCATGCCTATTTGGATGATATGAAGTTGACAGAGCCCTTCTGCATGTTAGGTTTAAAAACAAAACTGGTGTAATATTTGCAGAACAGCTTGCCCATTGAAGGAATAAAACAACAAAAGTATTTTTCCTGAGGTGTGGTGCAACTTCACAGAGCAGTTACACTTCCTAACGTTTCTTATGAGAGCTTATACTTTGGCTCCAAAGTCCCCAGCTAAGACCTGTTTATATATCTGTACAGCTTAAGTTCTGTCATATCCCCTTAAATATCAGCCGTTTTAATGAATAGAACGTGTAAAATCAGCTTCTAAAAGCTCCCAGATCTGAGATTCTTTTTCTGTTTAGTTTTGTTTTTAGATTGGTGCTTCATGAGCTTCCCTACAGACCAGCAGAATTATAATAGAGTAATTTCTCTATTATCTTTAAATTCTTAATTTCTGTCCAATTAATCAAATATCCAGTTGCCACCAACATAAATTCTTTATTTTGTGATGCAAACTTTTAAAGTCGCAGGCATTTTATTCTTCTAGTTTGTATCTGCCAAGTGTAAAATTGAGGTAATTTGTCCAGGTATATCTGGACCTTTTAATACTACGTAAGGCCATATAATGAAATTCCTTCTGTGGTATTTCATGACTATCACAGCTTCATATACCTCCGTAATTTTTAATGCAAGGTGAATGTAGCTTAATATGCTAACTGTTCAATTTAGCTTTTGTGACGGTAAAATCCCCCACTTCATATTCGACATCACACCATCACACTTTTCAAAGCCTAAACTCTCAGGGGTTGTAGTCTTTATTTTCTCAAAGGTCAAGTAAAAATGTCAAACTGAAAAAGCAAAGTGGTGGAACAACCCCTTGGTGGGTATAAATTGACGCCGAGTCTGCACCAAACATCTCGTTCTAGGTGACACAATTTCCTTCTAAAGCTGAATAAGAAATCTACTACAATCATCATTGCAATATCATTATGTGCAGTATCTCAATGAAAGACATCTTTGATATAGTACTTATTAGGATATTATTTTTACATGCTATGCATACAAGTTTTGCATGCCAATAATCATAATGTATGGTCTGTTGTGCAGACTTCCACTGCCTGTAGTTCTCACATTTTTAGTGGCTGCATTGCTAAAGTTTGCCAAGAGAGACATTAAGATGAACGGATGTATATTAAAGAATAATGAAAATTTGTGGCAATTTTAACAAGAAGAGCAACCTGTAACCCACCTTTCTTGATGCTAAGAACAGAGTAAAAAATGTTTCTAGATTAGGGTTCTCAAAATGTCTGCAAATCATTCAAAGATATTCATTTGCCTCGAAATTGATGTAATCTGACCCATTTATATTTGCCTAAGTTGTTGAATATCTTCCAGCAGCAGTGCAGCAATAAGACACCTGTTTTTCCCAGTTTTATTTGCACTTCATTTACTTCATCTGTTGTTTTATTGTGTTCATGAACTTTTATACACTTTTCCTTGAAGTTAACCGCAGTTAACCGCACTCAAGACTACATGCATTAACATTAGAAGTCACTAATGTTGCCAATTTAGTGACTTTGTTGCTATATTTAGTGACTTTTTTGGCCAAAAATGGAATTGGTCAGCCAGACCTTTTAAAGATTGGTGATTGACCAGAAAACTACAATTGGTGCACCTCAAATTGTGAACATCTGCTGTAAAATAACAATAGTGTCATCAATTTCCCTGTAATGGCAGAGTTCAGGATTTGGAAGCTTTTATGCTTCTTGTTGTGCCACGATTATATTCCAAATATATTTTTATACTCGGTGTTACAGGGATGTCTTTCTCTATATTGACTTCCAAACCTGTTTAGACCAAGCACCTAGGACTTTGTTTTCATACCAATTGCTTTACTTCAAGTTGTATCCCAAGGTTACCGAAAAGTTGACATGTCCAGATGTTTGAGTCCTTACTACACTGGGATAGATCTGAGTCTCTTATTCTGTTTAATGCTGCTAGTGCCTTTATCCTAGTCTGTAGCTGACTCCATCTAATGATAACCTTTAACTTTTTAAATATTGCCTGAAATTGTTTTGTTACCTTTTAACAGAAACTGCTCACATTATGTATTGAAATTAGGGGTGCATCAATTTTTTGTAAATATTTAAGCAAGCCCTCATGAAACAAAAGGATTTCCCATTCTTCATGAATCTTCCTTCAGATCAAACTGTGCTCATCATATCAGATTTGGTGTTCTTATTCATCTATCTGATTCTTTGGTCAACAACAACTCTCCAACATAATACATCCAAAATCTATATGGTAACCAACTGCTGAAGCACAAAGATGTTCAGGCTTTACTGTAGATCCACTGCTTGCTACTTGTACAGAAGGATGTTAGGATGTTACCACTTGTATATTTAGCAGGCTGTGTGAATGTTGCTACGGAGACAAAGGTTCCAGTAGGTCTGCTCTGAACTGTTCAGGCTCTCTGTATAAAATGTGGCTTTCTGTGCCCTTTCCACTTGGTCAGCTGGCTGCCTCCTATCTGAGGCTCATCCATGAGCTTCTGCAGCCATTCTCTAAAACACATAACACATACATGGTACAGACCAATGAATAATTACTCATTACTTCATCAGTCACATTATTTCAGAATTCTGTTTTCTAGGGATCTGACTGTTTTAAATTAATGGAGCTGTAGTTCTGCTTTGGAGTAGCAGAGGAAAGATTTGGTGGTTTGTGTCACTAGGCTGAGGTAAGGATGCGGATTACATAACATCATCAGAAGTATGAGAGAGCTGTTGGCTTCATTGTCTTTTGGAAAGACTCGGCTTTCCTTTTCTTCTGTTGGGTTATAAAGAGATATGGTTACTAGTAAACTGTGGAGGTCAGTGGGTCAGCAGTGATTTAAGTGTCCATGGTAGAGCCTTCGCCACTGCAGCCTTTAATTAGACTCGGTGCTCTGCTCTGATGGGAATGTGCTCCTCTTCGTGCTGATCCTTTGAAATTCTCTGATGCTCTTTAAGGCTGTATAATCTCTTGTCCCAGCATGTGAAGCTTCTCTTCTGCTAAAAATGAGGAAGGCCTGTACACCTGAAGTATACCACTATTACCACTATTATGGATGAATAGCAGTGGGAAACTGGACTCTAAAACCCATTGTTTTGTAGAGAGCATCCATTCTAAATGGTCATTCAATGGCCTCATTATTGCCCCTTTGGGGAATGACTGTCAGGGGATGTTTTTATTGATAATTTATTTTACAGGAACCATTTGTTGCCCCAAAAGACATCTAGAACTAGAACAGGACATGGACATTGTGGACTTGTTCTACTGTCTTGTACAGTAGAACAAATGTGTTTTCAGTTAGCTGAAAACAATGGGAAACCATAGCAAAGACCTCCTTCATAGATGCATGTCATTCAGTCACCACTGACTACTCTTATCATCAGTGACTCCTTTTCTCAGGTCTTTTAGTAGGTTTGCCTCTTCATTGGTGGGTCGTCCTGCTCTGCAGTGGTCTTACTAGGTTATATGGTCTCTGCTGAGTGCAAATGAAAGTTATCAGCTTGTTGTGTTGTAAAATGATCTTTTCATGTTTTTTTGTCTTTAGTCTCGTGTTTAAAATGTGGATGAAACTTGATAGAATTAATTTTATATTTCCCCCTTACATTCAAATTCTCCTACATTCTTCCGGATTGCTCTAATAAAGTTAATTAATTCGTTTAATTCCTTCTGCAAAATTTGTTTTGCTGAAGTTAAAAACATTTAATCAGAATTGGATGGTATTGTGTTAGTGTCCCTATAAACTCGGCTTTCTTGAAAACACAGTAGCTCTCATCTAGTTGTCATGTGAACTTTGAGTGAACTTTTACAATATTGCACAAAAAAACACATCTAAGAACAATGGAGACAATCCTCCTCTCCAAGCTGAAGGTTTGACATTTTTTTTGGGAAAGTTCACCATGTTGAATGCTTTAGATATTTTTTTGGAAAAGCCAAAAACCAGTTCAAGTGAGTGTGAAAACGTTCTTGCAAAAATCAAGAAAGTTATTTAAAATTTTGTTCTTTCCATCAACTTTTTCTAGAGATGATGATAGAAAAAGTTTATAGAGAAAGCTTCTATAATCTTGGGACAACACTTAGCTAAGACAAGCATCACTTTTACTTTTTGTTTGTAGGGGCTATCTGACTATTCAAACTGCTGCAAAGTACTTAGAAGGTTTCTAATGATACATTCTTAGATATAATGACAAGACAACATAATATTAGGTTCACTGGCAAAAGATGGGATTTTAGCTGTGTTTTGGAGTTTATTTATATAGTGCAGATTCACAACAGGTTTTGTCTAAAGTCGCTTTATAAAACAAACAGATTCAGTTTTTATATAGACATAGTCAATTTATTTAAATTTACTGATTTGAAGTGAATATTTTGAACCTTTTGAGGAAAATGGAAGTGCCTGGGTCATATGGATGTGTCCTTTGGAGACAAAATGGAAACCAGGTGTACCTCAGCATGGCTGCAAGGCTTGGAATGCAAACAAAATTAGCCCATTTAAAATCGGATGGACACTGACGGTGGTGCCAGTTTGCACCATGTAAAACTTTCAATCATTTACAAAATAGCCCCTCCCTTTGACTGCTAGATCTGTAGGGACCATCTTTCTGTGACCGTTTCCCTTCTCCACAGGGCTTTGTTGAGTTAACAGATTTGGCTCCTGACCACAGAACATACCCCTTCAATGTGAGCCTCCTGCTGTCTGAACAATGGAGAGCCAGTTGGAGGCTGGATGGACCGATTCTCTGCTCCCATTCCACAGCACATACTTTCCCAATGATTTCAATGTTGATTCAGTCTGCCCTTATTACACCATTCATCAGTTCCAGGGAATGAGAAGTCTGCTAGAGACACTTCAGCTGTGCTGTAGTCATATTTTTAGCCAATCTACCTGCAGTTTCATTCTTTAATCTCTATAAAAATTAATCGATCGTGAAATCACAGCAATATATAGACGTACATTGTATTTTTCTGTACTGATCTCCATGTTGTGCAACATCACTTTAAAAGAAGTTCACAACCATATCTTCCTCTTTTTGCCTGAACCAGAACATCCATCTGTTTGGATTCAGACACAGGAGACCATTTCCTTTTATTCTCATGCAAACCCAGACACGCATAAGGTCCACCCCCACCTATTGTTCAGGCAGCTAACCTCTAGCTGTGGGACAGTGGTCTGGAAGACCGGGGGAAATCAGGCTACAGTACCCCTCAACACCATCTAAACTCAGTATCTCCAAAAGCCCCACACCGTAATTGACCGAAACAGCGGACTGCATGGCTGCATTTGCAATGCTTGTTACAACTAGTTATGATGATGGACACTTTCTCCTCTTCATCAGTAATGAAGAATGTGAAGCAGAAAGGATTGCATTTTTTATGCTTTATAAAACCCATGATTTTATCTCCATTACATTTAGTTGCTGTTGCCTTTTCCTTCTCTCTGTGGAGCTTCTTATGCTCTATACAAATATACAGTTAGCCGTTTGTTTTTTTTGTTGCTACTCT